CTTGCCCCCCCCCAGCCTGTGAATTAAAACAATGAAGCCCCCTCACCTGCTTGTCTTTCTGCAGGGAGGAGGCAAGCAGGCAGATCCCTTCTGATCTAGTGTGATTAGTAAGGTCTGCTGCAGACATTACTAATCACTTCGTTTTCGACCCGGAGCTCAGTGAAGAGCTGGGGCTGAGAACGGAGAGCCCGCAGTAGCAGCTGCTCCCACGAGTCAGGTACGTGGTGTGTGACCGCAAGCCTGACTGAATTTCCACTCGCCTGCACTGCATTTTCACTCGCCAAATGCGAGCAGGCGAGTGGAAATTTTGAGCCCTGATATAGGGAAAACGGGTTTTTTTTTTACATTTTCGGTACCTTTTCATTATATAGTAAAAAATAAAACCCCCAGTGGTGATTAAATACCACCAAAAAAAGCTCTATGTGTCCCCAAAAAATTATATAAAATGTATTTCAGTACAGCGTTGCATGACGGAATAAATGTCAAAGTACCTCAGTGCTGAATACTGAAAAATGGCCTGGCCAGGAAGGGGGTTTAACACCCCGGTCAGCAAGTGGTTAAGACACTTCCTTATAAAACCACAACATACACACTCTTTTTGCAACCCTAGGTGTCAAGTGTCTCAGGTGTCGTTATATTAGTTAAAGACACAGGGTATAAAAATGTCCTCATAGCAGCTTTCCACTAGGTACAAAACATCAGTGTAACAAATTTTTGCTTGCAATGGTTGAGTAGTGTAAGAACACTCAGGAAAAGGTTGTTCCCTCCTTCATATCTCATTCACTGCGTCTGCACAAAAAATGAGACGTCATAAAAGTCAGGAAAAAATATGGCAGTTTTTGAACAGTATGATCTCTTTTCCTTAAAGGTCTGCCAACAATCTGCCTTAGAATCGTCAGTCAGTGGGTGAACAGTCACAGAGTTGGTGCTGGAACATTTGCTCGGCTGGGTTAGTCCATGCGGGGTATACTGGAACTGGTCAGTAAAGGAAAATTGTTTTAAGAAATCTATGTACTCAATGCTTTTTAAGATTTCTAATATATAGAATCAAAGTGAAGATGATGAGGAACAGGTTTTGTGGTGATAGTTAAGGCATATTACATCAAAGAGGTTTACACTACGCTTGAGTATGCTGCGCTATAAAATGACATTAGGCCATTCAGGAGTCTCAATGTTCAGTTCTCACCTGACAATATAACAAATCAATAGCAGCTGTACAGCCCATTAACATGACATCAGTAGAGGGATCCATATACCTGGGAGACAAAGAGAGAATTACTGCAATAAGATGAAATGTCAAACACTTTTGGTGCATGTATTACCATACATCGCTTTGTCAAACCTCTGTGCAGACATTTAGGGCCTGTCAGGCTGTGGGCTTGTGTTGATGAGCAAGTGCGGCTTGCTTTTTGGCCTATTCCAATATGGCGGATCCCATAAATTCAGAATGTTCCAGAGAGGAACAAATAACTTGGCTTTGTGGGTTGGCTAGTTCCTCACCTGATCTGCATCTTTTCATACCCATTCTGGCTATCTTTCTCTTATTCCACCACTCCAATCATTCTCCTTTACTCACTACTTCTTCATTCCACCCACACACACCCTTTCTCTAGGTTTTGCTTTCCCTGCCTATCTTCCCTTAACCCCAACACTGACCCATCCTCCTTTCCTCCTCACCCAATTTTATTTCTCCCCCTGTTTTTCTTTCTTTTCTCCCCCAACAATGTTCTTCTACCCCTCTTATCAATTTTTCTATTCTTGTCTAGCTATCTTGCCCGCCCTCCACCCCCATGTGAATGTGTGAAGCTTGAAGAGAAGCTGTTCAGGTACATAAACACCCCTACTTGGGAGGGGGGGGGGGCATGCTCTTCCTGGAATTCAGGGGCTCCAATAACTCTACCAGGAGAGGATGAAGAAGCAAGATGTCACCAGGACACCAGAAGCACAGGTCAAATGAACTTCTTTTATTGACGCATATTGTCCCAATGAAAGCAAAGCTTTCATTCGACTTGTCCTTCTGGTGTGCTGATGACATTTTGCTTCTTCATCCTCTCCTGGTAGAGTCACTGAAAGCTTTGCTTTCATTGTGACAATATGCGTCAATTAAAGACGTTTATTTAATCTGTCCTTGCAGTGTGCTGGGGACATCTTGCTTCCTTAATTATTATGCAGGCCAACCACAAATCATTTCAGCACCAACCTTCAAGGGGTTTCCAGTAAGGAATGTGGTGGGATACCCATTGGACTCTACCAGGAGAGGCACACTAATCATTACTGTTGTATCTGTCTATAGCTTATCTATATCTTATGGTGCTTAAAAAACAGTTTAGCTGCCATTGCCACAATTTCCAAAAGGTATGCTTAATGCAGTATAGTATTTCGTAATATCGATTTTTATATACAGTTTTGCTGGTGCACCCTTCAATGATCATCTGTGTCAGTGTGCAATCAGCAAACAATCATGCAAACACAATAGGCTACTTGGAAACCTATGCTGCCTATTACCATCACATAAAGAATAAAAGGTTTTTGAAATAAGCTGGACAGACTGCCGTTCTAGAACAAAGTAATAGAGCTGATAGAAGCATAAAAATAGGTTCTGGTCCGCACTTACCATTTCCTGATGTCAATCTGAAAGCTTTCATTATGTATGTTCCAAATAGTTACGAAAGGGATTTCAAAGTGCGCAATCCTCTTTATAACTATAGGCAAAAAACAGACTAAGAAGGTGTTCCAAGGACATTTATCAATAGAAGTGCAGTTGGAAACAGTCATTCAAGTTCAAATATATTCAATAAGAAGACCAATTTATTAGAATCTGATTCAGAATATAATACATGGCACTTTATAAAATGGGCTGGAATGAAAAAGCCCATTCAATAGATACTGACTGCGAGGGTTAAGTGAGGACTCACTCCACCGCACAGTAAGGAAAAGTCATAATAATTTTACAAAAATAATGAAAAGAGAAATGAAGTCTAAATCATAAATCTATATATGTTCCTTGTTACACATTTTTGGCGTACTGTGCTGTTTTTTGAGGTTTTACAGTAATGTGAAAAAAAAAAAGGTCCCTTGCATTAAAAATGCAAAACTTGCTATGCTCACTCCATTTCTAATGTCTTCAAAAATCCCCAATACACTAAAACAAGCCAAAAAAAACCCAAAAACCCCAAACATTTACAGGGTTATTCACAAAAGGGTGAAGAGTTTGGAGAAGGCAGGAGAGTGAACAATCTAGGACAGGGGCGCCCACAATTTTTTGTCTGGAGATCTACTTTTCAAGTGACAAGCTCAATGAGATCTACCAACGAACCAACGAAACACCTGCAGTGACTGCGTTCCGGGTGCGGGAGATCGCACAGTGGGCGGGGGGCATGACTGCGGTGGCATTGACTTCAATACAACCCCACTCGCGCACCTGAACGCAGGGAGTCGGCCGGCTTACATTCCAGTGCGTCCTAGAGGCCCCGGTGTCATGTCCTCCCGCGGTGCTCGTGTGGCCGACTTTGCACATGGGGAGAGGTGTCCCGCCCCTTTCCATCTGCAGCGTCTGACACATTCAGCCAGCAGCCGCACAAGCAGCATAGCCAGCTCCTTTTGCGCCCGGAGGCAAAAAAACTGTGAACTCCCACCCCCCAACAGGCGTGTGATGTCACCCAGTGCCCTGCCTTCAGGATTTGCTTTTTACTTTCTACTATTTTTTATAGCACAAAGTCCTCAATCTCTTTTTCTGCATCCTTGGTTCTAAATGAATGGAAAGCACAGAGGCTTCCCATTCATTCAGAAAATATTTTACTATCATCCAGTTTCTGAATGTGGAGGAGCCTCTGTACAGAGTGCTTCTCCCCATTGAGAAACTCATGAATGAACAGGAAGTGATGTAAATCACATCCTGTTCATTCATAACTGGGGACACATAGTACTATGTGTCCCCAGTTATTTACAAACACTGGAGTGATCAGCTGATCTCTCCAGTGTTTGTCCTGCACAGAGGATCGGAACATATCACTGATATGTACCGATCCTCTGCCGGTCGGCCACGCACACGGGGGCTCAGCTTCTCCTCTGGATCTCCCGGGTAGAGGCAGCGTGATCCGAGGAGAAGTTACAGAAGCACTTCGGGGGGAGCCGTTGTCACAGAACTAAGGCTGGGCGGTGAGGGGAGAGAGAGGCGCCCGCTATCAGAACCTGGTCAAGCGTCTGTCTCTAAACATAGCTGAACTGAAAAGTGAGCTGAATTGGAGAATTTTCCCCAATCAGCTATTCTGACCTAGATTGTTCCCTTCTCCTGCCTTCTCCAAACTCTTCACCGTTTTGTGACTAACCGTGTTAGTGTAGTGTATTTGTTTTATCACATCATGCATGCAGGGATGAAAAAAATGTACAAAAAAAGGTTTTGGGCCTTTTCCCTGTGGGATTTTTTTTGCCTTTTTGTGTAATTGTTGTTTTTTTTTCAGTTTCCAAGACAATTGGGATCAATGGCAATTTCAAAAACTTAGAGACACTTTTTTTTGCTTTTTTGTATATTTTATCATAATATGTTAAAAACAAATGGAAAATTCTGACAGCTTGCCGATAACACTCACCAGTGAACGCGCCCGCGCTCTCTTTGTGTGTAATAAACAGGCTGAAATATTCCTTCAATTCTCTGGATACACCCAGTTTGTACAAAGCAGCCTAGAATATATAGTTACATAGTATTTGAGGTTGAATAAAGACATAAGTCCATCAAGTCTAACCTATATGCCAACCAAACATAGTTTTGTATATTAACATAGAACGTCATCAATATAACCTCATTACAATGTAAGGAAACAGACATCCCCGGCAGTGAAAACAGATGTAAATGACACAATTTGGCCTTTTTATCATCCACAGGGATTTGAATCTTCGCATTCATGTGCGGCCACTCTTCCACCTCAGCATTTCGTAGCTGGTCTAAACCAGGAACAAGCTCACTCCTCATGATGTAGATGGAGCTTCCTATAGTTTACTGTTTGAAGAAGTCTGTGCTGTCAGTAGAGATGAGGCCAAGCTTGGTGCGAAAGCAGTTCGCTTGAGTTCCCGCAAGCCCACTGAAAACTCTGACAACCGCCACCTCCTCCTGACTCAATCAGTGGTTGCAGTTGTGGCAGGAGGGGATGGAGGCGCATTCTCTGCCCCACCGCTATATGTCACAAAGGGGCAGGGAATGCACCTTCCCGCAACTGATTGAGCCACGAGGAGGGGGTGGTGGTCAGCGTTTTGAGCAGGCTGGCGTAAACTGGGTACACAGTCACACCAAGCTCTAGGTCCTCACTAGTTGTCAGTCTGTATAGTGAAATCTGACGAGATCAAGTCCTGCACAACATACTAGACACCAATCCATTGCATGCAAGGTTGGTTATATTTAATGATTTAAACAATTCATTATAAAACAATATACTGTTTTACCAATAGGTCCATCTCTGTAAATGGAATCCAACTATACAAATGTCAATATTTATTCCTAAGTTATTATAATTCTGCAAACTTCATTTTGATTTGGTCTATTGGCTTTACACATTGGCTTGTATGGCAACACCACTAATACTGATACAACAGATTCAGCCAGGAAAATCAATTTGTCTCCATTGGGAGTAGCCTATGGTCATACAATTGCTCCTCGATCCAAATACTGTCAGCCAGGATGAGCAATCATCTCATGTCTATAGCTAGTCTTGTCAATCTGACCATGCATTAAAAAGAGACTCTGCCACAAACTTTAAAAAAATAAATAAATCAGGTACCATGCACAGAACAGTTAGGTATTTTAAATGCTAACTACAGTGTTTTTCCTTTCCATAAATGATTTGTAATCACTTGCACTATGCCTTTGAACTTGCTAGAAAATGTGACTAGAGCCGATCTCTTACCCAGATAGCAAGCAATTGAGCTGCAAGTTTAAAAAAGGCTTGCTACAGTATTGCAGACTTGCCAAGCTTCACAATTTTGTTGCACAATTACAGCAAGTCTGCATTGCAAGTCTCCAGATCAACGTGCTTTGCAAAAGTGCTGTACACTTGCAGAGCTCTTGCTAAGACTTGCAGGACTCTTGCTGTAGACTTGCCAAGCAAATTTGCTACTAATACAAAAAGTGTCAACTAGAACTTGTGCTGCAAGCCCGTTCTGCAAGTCTACAACTTGCCAGGAATGTGTGCAGCAAGTTAACCAGAATTACATTTTAACCCTGCCACAAGTTTTTAGCAAGTTATCCTTGCTATCTGGGTTAGCATGCCCCCCTCCCTCATGCCACATCATAGCCCTCTCCTCTTCTGGGAGTGTCCAATTACTCTCTATGCTGGTCCAGCTCCTTCATCCCTCCCCTCGCATCCCTACATAATCTTAATGTAGCAGCCAGGGGAGGAGCAAATGGTAATACTATAGGGTGTCACTTGAGTGACAGTGAAAGTCTGCCGACATCACATGCAAGATGGTGGCACCTAGTGCCAGTCTTGGGCTTTAGGATGTCTACACACAGGACAAGTAAATAACATAAACACATTAAATGCACATAAAATATTACAGGCAGTTTTTCCTGGTAACAATGTTTCTAATAGCTGGCTCTGGACAACTGTTGTCTTTAAAAATACAAATAAAAATACAGAAATTGGGTCTTCATATAAAAGCAATGTACACTATAGAAGACGAGTAACTTCATGTTTGAAATCTGCACATTCATTAATACACAACTGAAACATATAGAGCAACATAAATAAACCAGAAGCAGACGTGTTCCTTCACAACACATGGCTGGTGTTTTCCCCAGACTCAACAATAGAATTCAGACTACTTTTAAACCTGTACTTTCCTTGTAGCATGGCAAACATTCCAAACACGCTTAACTTGCTTCTCAGGTATTATACTGTTGTACAATCTGATAACAGGGTCATTGAGAGTTAAGGCGAATCTGATATTCAGAGAACATGTATTGTGCCTTGTAAAGCAAGCTATAGACAAAACTGTATACTCTCCATAAGTTTACAAGCAACTGGGACGGTGTGAAATGCGAAAGGACCATTTTATATATACAAAAAACAGAAAAGTTTCCTGCATACAAGTCAACTTGCAAAAGAATGACTGTGGTACCTCGGTTCACAAACTTAATTCGTTCCACGATTCTGTTTGCAAACCGAATTTGTCATGATCCAAAATCAAACTGTGATCAGACCGCGATCTATACTAGAGGAAGTCATAACCACGTGTCAGAGCGAGGAAGATGGCTGCGGTTGTGTTCATCACCCGATGCGGAGTTCGTGAACGGAAGCATAATTTTGCCAAACTTCACACAGAAGATTTTGTGAACCGAGGTACCACTGTATATGATAAAAACTCTTGTCAAGGAAATCTTGGGTGGTGGTATTTTTAACCTGAGCTTAGTGCCCAGCTCAAGTGTCTGTAGAGAACACCAAAGTTTGAAAAGAGACTTGACAAAGGGTAAGATCCCAAATGGACGATGAAGCTTGTATTATGGCTGTGGAGATGCCGGTCTATGCCATTGTGTGGCTGGTCGCCACTGTGGAAATCCTGAGTGCAGGGACATTACCAGTACCTGCATTACTGCCTGACCACAGCCGGCAGCTGATACACCATCCCGAGTCTTATTACAAGTGCTTCACACTTCCTAGTTTGTTGATGTAACCATTGACTTTTATTTATTTTATTAATGTGTTTCTCTAATGCAATATACTATTGCGGTTGTTTGATGTTATTTGGAATTGCCAACCCCTTGAAACCATATTAATAGGTTTATTAAAGACTAAAGTTGGGTAAACACAGTTCTATTTTTTACGTTCAACCCGTGGTCTGGTCTTAAGGAAAAAGTAGAACACATTCCTCCACCAAGGCTTAGTAACGTTGGCAGACGAATTTGTTGCAGTTTTGCATGCTATTCTGAGAACGATCTGCGGCCGCTGTCAGAATGCCCAAACAGAGCTTGCAGCTAATTGGCTGAGAATTCTCCAACCGGCTCCTTCGATCAGCTGATCAAGGGATGCCGGGCAGAAGGGTGCCAACAGCTGCATCTATGGTACGAATTTCGACTAGTTCATTAGCAACCAGCTGAAATTCTATTTGTGTGTACCCGACTTAAGTTTACTTTTGTGTGGGGCGGGGGTCTGGTTTGAGTGTATGAACTGTTCATATTTCGGCGCTTGTGATTATATAAAGTTTAAGCACACATCTATTAATGGAAGTAACTTTATTATTTATCAATTTATTTTTATCTAATTACTGTTAGCACTGGGCACTTTGCACATAAAGACCTACATAAGAAACCTAGTGAAAACTGTCTGCAATGTTTGGTTCCAAACTAAAGCCTCGTTACCATATACTTGTAGAGTCATATACCAGCACCAAGGTGCCTCCGTATAATGTGGACCAACTCTACAAGAGGATGAACATGATTATACAGCTAACATACACACACGTGATTACCTCCAGCACTCTCTCTGCAGTGTCAGATGACTGCCCGTCCACTTTAACATGGTTGCCATCAGGCAAGTAGACATTGAAGATTAGTTTCACTGTGGGCATCTTTCCCTGTTAACAAAATAAAATAAAAGCTAAAGCATTTTGAACAGTGCTGCAACCAGCAACAGATATCTTTTTGTACTTCTACTGGTTTTTTTTCTACCGAACTGTTGTAAATACAGCCTTAGAGCTTTAAATAGCATTTTTACACTATGGAGGCGCTCTTTTGTACCTTTTTGTTAAATACAATTTCTATTAAAAATAAAACAAGTAAGTGACAGTACAGGTATGGCATCAGTTATCCAGAGGCTCAGACTACAAAAAGAGTCAAACTCCAAATAGGTAAAGGAACACTAAACCATATATCCTATAGTGACACTAACCTCAGGTGTTAAATCTTCAAAATGCATTCAAGTACCTTAACTATTCAAACATACTGTACCTTATTCAGGGCCGGATTTCCCACAAGGCCAACCAAGGCCCGGCCTTGGGGCAGCAGGGAGTGGAGGGGCAGCATGGGTGTGGAATTCCAATCTCCTGATGCCTGGAACATGCAGTTCTGGGCGCTGGGTGGTAGTTGTTTTCTACTTTTAGCTCTGCTTTGGGCAAGCAGAGCTAAACGTACAGCGGGGAAGCCGCCGCTTGTTTTGTACAAGTGATGCCGGCGATGTCGCCGATATCACTTGTATGCAGCCTGCAGGTCTGCCAAGCTGTAGATCCTCAAATCATCTCTGAATCGGTGCACACACTGTCCTTCCTACTGAAGGGTGGCTACCTTTGTTCCCCATTGTCCCTGTGTGTGTTGTAAAGTAGTCACGGCTCCAAGTTCCCTCCTGTGATGGACTACAATCTCACATTTAGTTTACAAATTTTTATTGAGATTGTAGTCCATCACAGGAGCGAGCTTGGAGCGGTGGCTACTATACCACACACATAGACCATGGAGAACAAAAGTAGCCACCCTCCGGAAGGATGCTTTATAGCAGTGGTTCTCAACCTGTGTAACCTCAGGACCCACATTTGTCCTTGGTAATTAAGTTGCGACCCAAGTCGCACTGCACTGGAACGCACGGTATTGGGGTACCGCGTATTCCGGTGCGGGTGATTGAACTGTGGCCGGGAGGTGCGTTTGTGGTGCCATTCAAATTAATGGCAAAGCAATGCATCTTGCGCATCTAATCGCACAGGACTGTTCACTGCACATTGTACTAGTGTGAACGGGCCCTCAAAAACACTGACAGACACTCACAATCTCACACACTCACAGACAGACATTCTCACACACACATACACACTCCATAAAAATATTAACATTTGTTTTTCTTTTTTTTTACAATCCATCCAGTCTCCCTACCTTGCGAGAACTGGAGTGGATCCTCAGCTTGGGGTCCAGAGTGGGATGCTGTGCTGTGATGGCGCTCCATCCATTTGTGCATTGCTGGTAAAACTCCCTTGTGTGCCCTGTACAGGTCCCGGGAGCCAGAATGTGACGTAATTCCAGTCCAGGCACCTCTACAGGTCATGCAAGGAAGCTGTACGCAATGCACGTATGGATGGAGCTCCCTCGTGGCCATAGCCCCAGACCACCTGACCCCACCTCAAGCTGACACTCAGCGCTAGGCAGCATATTTTAAATAGCTACTTGGCATGAGAACTGACAGTGCTGCACTAGGGGGAGGCTGAGGAGCCTCTCACCTAGAAAAGTAGAAGGCATGTGGCGACCCACTGAACATGGGGTCGTGACCCACAGAACATGGGGTCGCGACCCACTTTTGGATCACGACCCACCAGTTGAGAACCAAGGCTTTATAGGGTTGTTTTGCCTTCCTCTAGATCAACTGTGGACATTTTGGTTATGGAGGTTTTCTATTTATTCTTTTTTTTTTTTCTCCATTGGTTGAACCCAATGGTCTTTTTTCAAACTTTGTAACTTTGGGGTAACCATTCCTCTGAAACAGCTGAGCGGTGTTTCGGTGGCACGGAAGCAGGAAAGGTGTTTGGCAGTGGGGGCGGGGGGAAAGGTAAGTATGTATACTAATCTTTTGCAGGGTCACACAGCAGGGTCGCTTTAATAAAAGTGTGGTTTTAGAAGGGACAACAACTCAAACCTCATTATTCCATCCTTACTGCAGGTCTGTCATTTTGAAGAGAATGCTGACATAAAAATACCCTGGAACAACCTACCAACTGAAATTTCTTCAAATAGACTATGAAGATTTCACTGTTTGAGACAACGGGATCTGAAACAACTAAAGAAATGTATTGTGCATTAACAAAATGTGTACAGGTTAAATGTAAACAAGGATAAATATTGCTGTAACTTTTATATTTGTACAGAGGTTTTAAATAATAAAGTGCACATTTAGTAAAACAGTCACTATTGACAGCAACCACCAGCTACCCTGGATCAGTGTTTATCAGAAGCCCTCATTAGAATTGTGTGTGTGTGGAGGGGGGGGGGGGGAAC